TCTTACTAATCTGAGGAGGGTTTGTTCTCTTAACTGCATCTTCCTTATGATTAAGTATCTTCTTCTGCTCCGCTTCTTGATGCTTGTTAATGAGCTGTAAGAGGTGCTTGACTTGAGTAATTTGTGGTGAGGATATAAAGCCTTTGGAAGGAGGGCCTAGGGGTATCCTCTCTTGGGAAATATTTGGAGACTATGGGCTATTTGGTGCATCCCAAAGGCAAATACCTTTTCTCTTCATTAGTATTTTGTACAAGCTAGGGGATAAGGCACTCCTGGCAGGGATGATTTAGCAATAGCCTTCCCCCAGTATAAGCACCCCAAAACAAATGGGGAACGGGGAAGAGTCAGCTCAGCATTTCTTCCAGAGTTTCAAGTCATTTCTATGGCTGGCGCTGAATTCCATGTCTGGTCCTGAATTACACAGCATTTACTGTGGCTCGAGAATCATAGTAAACTGGAGGCATTGTTTATAGGTGACTAATGAATATGCAACAGTCCTGGGCATTGACTAAAAATAAAAAGCTAGAACAGAATACAAAAGACACTGCTCTTTGCAGCTACTTTTGAACTTCTAGTTCTCTTGAAGCAATTACCCTTCCTCTGCTCCAAAAATTGGTAACTTAATAGTGAATGGGCCCAATTCTGCTTTACTTTCCACTGGGGTAAATCCAGATGATCTTCAGTGACTTGTTGAATTTCCTCTGAACTAACCTTTGGACCAAATTCTGCTTTCAGTTCCACAAAGAATTTGATCTTTCAGTTTTTGCCATCTAGAAATACTCTCCGGGAAATTACTGTAACATTATAATGATAGTAGTGATTGTTAAACTTTGAGAGCTTCAAACGTTTATTTTCTTGGCACAAACAGTGTTGTCACTAGTGTGGGATATGGCAACAGTGAAGAAAAGAACTTGTCATGTAAATGGCATGTTCATGCTCATGCGAACACCTCTTCTGCCTTTGACTTGGGAGTTCTTTTGAGTTGCACATATTACACTATTTGCCGGGTCGTAAAACCTCATGATGTTGCGCTTGTATCCACAGATGTACCATAGCAAGAACTATTTTTTTCTGATTTCCTGGGTAGAAACGATAATAAAAATACGTAGCAATTACGGTGAGCTTTTCATAGCAACGCATTTGACAAACATTATCTAATCAGCCCTCATGGCTCCCCTATGAGATAGGTAAGTATTATCCCTATTTTACAGATGGGCAAATGAGGTACAGAGGTTAAATGACTCACTCAGAGGTACCAGGCAGGCAGGAGTCCTTAGAACTTCCTAATACCCAGTCCTCTGCTCTAGACACTTAAACCACACCTTTCTTCTAGGCCTGTGTTAGCACCTTTCCTCAGAGGTCTGCATGTGAGAGCCTGAGTGGTAAAGCTCGGATCTGGAACAGGATCGGATTCCATACTTTCCCCGTGTTTGGAGTATGGAGGCTGCAGATTTGACATTTCAGTTCAGCTTGTTACATCGAGAGGCGTGGATTGTAAAGTGTGGAACTTCCCCAGAATAGGTTTGGGTCTAGTATTGGGCTCAATTCTACCGTGACCTTCATTATCACTTAGATTGTGAACTCCGCAGGACTTGGATTATGGCTTCTTTTCTGTTTGGAAAGTATCTAGTATATAAATAAATAAAAATAAGAGCTACTATTCACGTTGATTATTTCCCTGTGAGTGGCAGCACATTTGCTGTACTTTACCATATCTGTGTGTGCAGTTTACTGCAGTTACACACACAAACAGATAGATGGGTACAAACACATTTGTTGCACACATTCACTGGTATACTATGATGTCCAGCAATGCAAAGCAGCCATAAACCTGGCTTAGCTCACCAGAGCAATGCAAACCCCAGAGACCACTAACCTGAGTTTACATCTCTGGACAGAAGCAGCTGCAGTGTACTGGTGAATCTGGCCCTGTACACGCAGTTATGATAATTGTACTCACAATTTTGGTAAACCGGTATACAAGTGAAGGCACATTTTGAATGTGTGAATGCTTTCCATGGAAAAATTTTCATTTTCTTTTTGACAAACAGAAGGCCCAAACCCCAAAATATTTTAGTTTGGAAATGGTGCCTCATTTCTCCAGTCTCTTCCATAGGCAGGACTCTCATCATGCACTGCTTTCCTCTCCAAGAGGGGAGACCAAGATGCATCAGGTGAAATGTAGTCTGACCAGGGTGCCTACAATGGAGAATGGGAGCATAAGGCACTATGGCAGCTTTTCTGAGCATGCACATTTTTGCTCCTTTCTTGATCTGTAGTTGTGCATATTTCATGCAAAGTTTTGAAAATGTAGCTCTTGGCATATGTATCCTTTTAAAAAAAGATATAAAGCAACAGAACATCAATTCCAAAGTTTCTTTGTACACATTCCGGTTTACAGGAACAAGATCAATTGCTTTTTACCCAGTTTAGCGTTTGTTTTCTTGGTTGTCTTAGCTTGCTTGGCTGCTGAGCCTGCTTCACCTTCCTTGTGTCTGATGTAGAATCTAAATTAGATAAAAGGAATCAGGACAGGATTTCAAATTCAGTTTGCTCGCTGTATAGGCAACAGAGTAGCAACCTGAACTGCTTGAATATAATTTTGTTTCTTTAATCCTTCCCCTTTAATCTGTTTTTATATACACTATATATATAAAAATAAATCAAATCTAGGACTGGAAGTCTTGCCTAATGTAAGTTAAGACATGACAAATGAACCTGACATTTTTTCAAGAAGGGAATCAAAGAGCATGCTGTATTTATAGCAGCAGCAAAAGTAGTTTACTGTTTTGTAGCAAAAGTATTTCTGTGCACTTGCACTGTATTAAAATGTTACCATTTGGGGCAGGAGTAGGCAACCTATGGCACGCATGCTGAAGGCGGCAAGCGAGCTGATTTTCAGTGGCACTCACTCTGCCCAGGTCCTGCTCACCGGTCTAGGGGGGCTCTGCATTTTAATTTAATTTTAAATTAAACTTCTTAAACATTTTGAAACCTTATTTACTTTACATAAAACAATAGTTTAGTTATATATTATAGACTTATAGAAAGAGACCTTCTAAAAACGTTAAAATGTATGACTGGCACGCGAAACCTTAAATTAGAATGAATAAATGAAGACTCGGCACACCACTTCTGAAAGGTTGCCGACCCCTGATTTGGGGTATGGTGGAGTGTCCAAATGACAACAACAGTAGTTTGGACATTGACTTCAAAGGGGCCAGAAATTGGGTCCCTTTTTGGTTCTCTTGGGAGTGCTATGGCCTACAAATAATTTGGAATCCAAGGTGCTTAGATACCACGATAATGAGTGTGGTATAAATGTGCAGACACACTCATTTGCACATGCTGTAAGTCTGGTGATCGGATGGGGGTACTGTGCTTACTGGTGGTTGACTCTGTAGTGCAGGGGTGGCCAACTTGTGGCTCCGGAGCCACATGCGGCTCTTCAGAAATTAATATGCGGCTCCTTGTATAGGCCCCGACTCCAGGGCTGGAGCTACAGGCTCCAACTTTCCAAGGTGCCGGGGGGTGCTCACTGCTCAGCCACAGGCCCTGCCCCCACTCCACCCCTTCCCGCCCCCCCTCAGCCTGCAGTGCCCTCGCTCCCCCCCTTCTTCTCCCCCCGCCCAAGAGCCTCCTGCATGCCACAAAACAGCTGATTGGGAGGTGCAGGGACGGAGGGGGAGGCGCTGATCGGTGGGGCTGCCAGTGGGTGGGAGACGCTGGGAGCGGGGTGAGGGAGCTAATGCGGGGCTGCTGACGTATTACTGTGGCTCTTTGGCAATGTACATTAGTAAATTCTGGCTCCTTCTCAGGCTCAGGTTGGCCATCCCTGCCCTAGTGTCACTGATTAGCAGAATAAAGAAAAGGGAGTTAATAGGTGAAGGAGCCAGCTTCCAGAAGGCTACATTTGGTGGTGATAGTACATTCAGTACTACTAAGAATTTCTTTTGCTGTGTTTCATGTCATCATAATCAAGGCTTTCTGTTTACAAAACTAGAGTTCTTTAGTTGAAGTTCTCAAATGTAGATGTGCAAACACATATGTACCCATCTTGTCAGGAAAATCAATGAAAGCCAATTGTCGACTATCTTAACCTTCCTCGGCAGAGCAGTACTATAACATTACACAAACATTTGTGGTGAAAGGCTAGATATTTTTCCATCCAAATAAAAATGTTGGAAAGATAGCTTGTTCGCTAAGTTTGTTTTTTACTACCAATCTTAATGACTTTCACACTGCTCTAGTTAGCAGTGGACATGCTGAGAATGCTTGTGTCAGGCTTTTCTTTTGTGCTTCAATGGACAAGTAAGGTTTTCAGTTTTTCATACCAGTATATTTGTCCTGGTTTGGATTTTTAAGCTTTTATCCCTTAGAAACTTATTACAGAAAATTATATTTTAATTGTTTTTTGCTAACTGGCTAAGAAAGTTTGTGCCAGTTCAGTCCTTTGTGTCATCTTTACATGATGCATTAATGCAGGAGAAAAATTTACAAAGCTTATTTGCCAGCTAACCAGGCTTAGCACTTCACCATCTTGTCTCTGAATAGAAAGGTCTGATCAAGCACCACAGAATTGTACATCTGGGACGGCTCATGATGCTGAATTGATCCTGTATTTAGCAGGCATGGGTATTCATACAACACTGGAGCAATTTGTGGCTGACAAATCACTATAGTCATATTACCTGTTTCTTTGTAGTTGATTTCTAATTGAGAGTCCATTTCCACATACATATTTTAGTCCCAACCCTTGCTAATTAGATTCTAGTAGAAATCCCTTTGGTCTGGTGTTTTACCTTTGTCCTTCCTTGTCAAGTTGAGGCATTAATGCTACATTTTGCTCTAATAAAGAATTCATCTCGTTTACTCCCTGCACTCTAACTGCTCTCTGAAGAGTGCTAAAGTGTGCTTAAGCATATTGTAACTGTTTACTCACAATATCTGCTGTATGCATAGTAACTTAAAATGTTCCATCTCTGTCCTGTCATTCCTAGGCAGGCATGATTCGCACAGACAAGGACGAGTTCTTCATTGAGCCTCAGGAGAAGGGCAGTCAGGAGGAAGACGGAGGCAGGACGCATGTGGTATATCGCAGAGCAGCTGTCAAGAAGCCACTTCGCACTGAGAACACAGATATCCAGTATAAAGGCAAGGCTGAGATGTTAATGACAACTGGTGTCTAAAGCATAGCTAAAAGCATGTATCTAGTAAGCAGCGTCTATGATCTGCCACCTCTGGCTGTTTGTCCTTGAGAGTGGAAATACCTTTTCTGCTCTTTATACGTGGAAGGGTGGGGGAAGGTTGGGCTAGATTAAACAAGCATTGCAGCAGCCTTAAACACTTGCCAGTGTGGCAGATCTTTTCCCCTTTTAATGTACAGATAGGAGTGGTAATTCACCCATGGTGAAGCTGTAGGGTGACCAGACAGCAAATGTGAAAACTCGGGCCAGGGGGGTAGGGGGTAATAGGAGCCTATATAAGAAAAAGACCCCAAAATCGGGACTGTCCCTATAAAATCGGGACATCTGGTCACCCTATGAAGCTGGCACATTACAAGCCTATGTAAGAGCAACCCCGGGGCATCACAGGTGGAGCAGCAATGTGGTGGTTCCTGTACACCTTTCAAACGCGGGGGAAACATTGTCCACACTGGCTCTGCACAGGCTACCTTGGAAGGCTGCAGTGGGGGCAGTGGTGTCTGGGCTTTGTGCTGGCACCCTCTTCATGGGGGATGGGGTGCCATTGGGGGTGGTTAATTTCACCCCAGAGGAATAAGATTTTGTGTCCTCAGACACAGATATGGAACTCCCATTGAATTGTGTATCCATGTTTGAGGGTAGAATTTGACTCAATATGTTGTGGAAAGAGCTGTATTAAAAGGAGTCTCAACGCTGCCAAGAAGTCTGCACTGTCTGACATAAGCAGTCTTGTATAGAAAAGAATTTTCTACCTACATGTATGGTAACTGCTTTTGCCAAGTGCCCCTTTAGCTGAGTGAGCAATGGATACAAATCTTGTAAGTGGATGTTTTCACAGCTAATATTAATACTGCTATTGACTGGATTGTTTGGGTGGCAAAGCAAAAAGCAGCCACATTTTGGGCCCAACTCTGTTGTACAGTATAGTAAATTAATTTATTACTAATAATTTAAGAGCAACCTAATACTTTAGTGTTAGTTTGTTGCAGTTCTGTTATTACATACGTACTAGGTGTGTAATTGCCATCAGCAGAAGGCTTTTTTCCAAGGGTCCTCAATGTCCCTGTAATTATCTGGCCCTTCAGTACCAACTTCTAAAGACAAATATAAAATTATGATACATTTGTAAATTTCTGCCATTTCAGTGGCAGAAATGAAGCACATAAACCAGTTAGAATGCTACACATTAACAGAGACCAGGCTGTAGAAGTATAAAAAAGGCAAATAGGATCTCTTCTCCTTCAGGCCATATTCGGAGCGTATGGTGATGTAAGTTACACAGGGCTCGAATTGAAAACAAAAAGTAGTAGCGGTCTCCTAAGCTTCACCCACTTGAGACATCAAAATGAGATGCCAGTCAAAGTAGATTGTGCAGATGTCCTCTGGTGAGCTCCTCGAGCTGACTCACTTTCAGTGGGATTCAGATACAGCCCTGGACAGAGCTGGACTAAGGCAATTGGCATGTGCCTAGGGCCCCTCCTCCCGGAGTCACATGATGGAATTTGTTATATTAATACATGCTTATGCCATTATTGTAATGTTGGAAAATATCTCTGTCAAGCCGTTTCCTTTTAAACAAAAGAGATTTAATTTTATTCACACCTTATGGCAGTATTTTTGTTTTTAGATGGTAAATATTCCTCAGGAGTAGGAGTTTGATACACAAAAAAGCACAAATCATATTTCAGTTTTGATAGCTCAGCTCAAATATTGGCATGCTGTACCTGCTAGAGGAAGACCCTTGACAGCAGTATCTCAAAACACCTCAGTAAAATGTAGAGACCTAGTGTATGCCTTTCTCTCATAGAGCTGTCTGAAAAAAATCCTATTGTAGCAGTCTGGTAGGCATAATAGAGCAATTACAAAGCCAAAATGACAATTATGTTGCAACATTATAGTTCAACCTGTGACTATACGTAAGTACACTGCAATTCTGTGTTTATACAGCACCTTGCACACGGGGGTAGAAGGAGCTACCACAATACAAATTGTTGTTGTTTTTAATAATAGAAAGGTAAGCAAACTGTAATTAAGAGTTAAGAAGCGTGCTTAATGAAGAGGGTGATGAAGAGAGAGTCTGATCCTGCTGGGCTTAGGACTCTGAGTTTATTTGAATGAATGCAGACTTCTGCTTGGGGAAGGGATGACTATTTTAAGTAGAGATGATTGAAATTCTTCAAATTTCAAAATTTCAATGAAAATTTAAAAGAAAAATCATGGAAAATTTTGATAAACGTTTTTTGCAAAATTCCCTCCCAACTCTCACCCCATTTTTTCACCAGTTGGTTGAACATTTTCAATGTTTTGACATTTTGAAAAAAGGAGGAACAGTGTTAGGAAAATTTTCATGAAATATTTTTTTTTTAAACTGGATCTAATTTTAAGTCTTCTAATTTTTTCCCATTCAGTCTGGCTTTTCCCATCACTACTGAAAATATGCAACCTCTACTGCTGGCAGGTTGATATTCATGAGTGAAAACTGCTTGAAGGCAGCTGTTATTTATGCTCCGGTCTTGTCAGTGTTTCAACAAGTGTTTGAATACTAAGCCATTGTTTTCTTTAAAGGAAAATACTAGCTGACCTCTCTTCTCTGGCTTTCTGGGTATCATTATTCCAGTTCAGTCTTGCATCTGGAGACTCCATTTCCCATTTGAAATGATGGAGCAGCTGTAGAACTGGGTTCAGCTGGCTATCCACTGAGCACATCACAGGGAAGGATGAAAGGTGCATGGCTTGGCTTTCTCCGGGATGCAACTAGAGGTCATAGGAGGAGCCAGTGTCTGGTTGAGGGAATGATGTCCTGCTTCCATAGGGTATAAAAGGATGATGTCACATTTGCTCCACCTTGGCATTGGTTGTAGTGAATTTTACATTACCAGATACTGTAAGGTGAACTTGAGAGCAGCGTTTTTCTAACATTTGTGTCCGTACTTCTTTCTTTTTCTTTTCTTTTATAACAAGGGAAATGGGGACTTTATTCCAGCTGTTCAAAAAATCAACCTCCTAAACACTGGGGACACTGGGGTATTCTTCTTTATATATAAAGGTTCTGCAGACATGTTTTTTAATAAATGGAATGTGCTGGGAGAGAACAGATGTGAAAAAAATGGCAAATGTATGTTCTGATTCAAGACTATCTCAGATTTTCTTCTGAGTTTAAACAAAACACTATCCAAGTAGAAGGGGAAAAGTAAATACCACTTTCTGACAGCTTAAATCACGGATTTTGGCAGAATTTTCTGTTTTTGGCAAGGTGACAATAATAGTCTAAGGGTATGATATATCCACCCACTCTTGCCTTTCTCACACAACTCTATTTTTCCAGTATATTAATAAACAAACCACTTATGCTTTAGAACTTCAGAGTTCAAACAGCACATTAGTACTGTAGGAGTTATTATGTTTTGACCAGAATCTGGATAATTCTTTTAGAAAGAGGCAGAAACATTTTCATGTGCTAGTTTGTGTGTTGCAGGTAAGTTGTTAAACTCTCCAGCAGGAATATACCCTGTATTTTCTGCTGATTATATTCTTAATACATAAATGGATATAATAATTTGTCTTCTTCTAATTATGCCCTCTATATTGCAGTGTAGTGGGCATCTTTAAAACTTATTGTTTTGAAAGATTCTACTACGGTATTTCTAGTAGAAGTCCTCATTATATAGATGGGAAATATTGCTTGAGAATGGTAAAAACTTTTACACAGTAAAACTTAAGTGTGCCCATTATATCATGCATAGAATATTGTTTTTCTGACTTTGATTTATTGTGATATTTTGTTCAAATGTTCTTTACATGTGAAATAAAGAAATGATGTTTTTATTAAAGTTGAGATCATGTCTAAAAAACGCAAGAATTAATTTTGCACGTGCAAAAGTGGGTTCTAGTTAAAGACAGTTTGAAGATCAGCCCCATAAAAAAGAAACGTTTTTATAGCATGTGTACAGTTAAATCCTCATGTCCATTCTTATGGTGCATGTGATCAATTGAAAGGAAATAATTCTACTAAAGTTTTCCTTAACATGTGCGTTTTCTTTCTTTAAATCATGGGCTACATACACCACAAATGTCCAAGTTTCAAGTAAGTTTTGATATTGCTTGATGGAGAGGCAGAGACTCAATTTTAATTGATTCATTTATTATGCAGATGAAGGATTTCTTTAACAAGGAACAGTTTATTATAGAACAAGGCTGCAAGTTAATTAACTAGAACCATCTTGAAACAGACAAATCATTCTTGCCCTAACTACCAACTCAATCCTTGGAATTTCCAAAGCCTGTTGAGACACTCAGATCCCACCATGAGCATATGCTGAGCACTTGGCCCTGCCTACAAAGTCTTAGCTTCCTGAAGTTCTGCGACCCATAGACAGTACTGGGTCCCTGAACACAGAGTCCTTACCTACAAACTCAGAGCCTGTTGAGGCGTTCTGAAAGGCAGGCACATTCATTCAATTTCAGACCTGTCCACGGGCAAATGCATAGCTCTACCTGACCAGAATCCATATCCTGCAATGGTGCCTACTGTCCACTTGGGTGATATGTTTTAAAACAACAAAAAACTCATCCACTTGATATCCATGAGGGATGGACTCACGCTAGCACATAGAAGTGTAGCCGTCCTTTCTGATGCCAAACTCCAGAGGTGTGGTTGTTTGGGTACCCCCATAAATGTGACCATTTTTGTCTGAGTTCGATGCGTGTGCAATACCTTTCCTACTCTGTGCATGTAGTTTCCCTGGTCATGTGTGAAGCAGTGAAGCTTCCGAGCAGGGACCTGTTTCTGGCATAATAGTGGAGGAACTGAAGATCGTAGCAGATGTGCAGATTCATAGGCACAATAACATCGTAATAATTAATAGCCATACAGTACATTTATACTGTACCCTTCTCCAAAACACATTCCTGGGTTGTTTCCTATATAATTAAAAGCAGCAAACCTCCTTT